ATTTTAAGCATTAATTCATTCAGTCTTAACAATAATCTCATTTTACAGATAAGAAAACTGAGCAGCAGAAAAACTAAGAAGCCCACACACACAACCAGACATTCTGGCTTCAGAAGCTGGGTTCATACATATGACATATGGCAGTATGGTATAGTGCAATGGTGGCAAACCTATGGCATGGGTGCTGCAGTGGGCTGTTATCACTGAAAGCTCTAAAAGGTTCATCATCACTAGTATAATGGGTATTATGACAAAGACAGGTATACATCCCTAATATTAGGGAACAGTTTACAGTCTCCAGGTAAATATAAGAGTGAGCAGTCACAAATTCACCAACAGTAGTTTTGGGGCAAAAACAGACTTGCATAGAACTGCTCATAGATGCAACCATGGAAAAAGTCTACAATGATAAATAAATACACAAACTAAGAGAACCAAGAACACAGTACAATTAGATAATAATTCAGAAAAAATTTGTAACATTATAGTAAAACAATTGCTAAATAAACCAGTGGTATAAACTCAAGATACACAAGTATAAAACCACATAAAAGATTTAAAACAAGTACACATTCAGAGTAGAGTGAAGCTTCCTATGTATAAAATAAGACAAGGAAGTCATAAAAGACTGAACAAATGAATCACATACAATTGTTTAAGATTCTTGAATGGGAAAGTTGTCAAAAGCTAAGAAAAGGAAAATTAAAAACCATAAATTAGGAAAATATTTATAATTCATGTCATAAAGAGATTGTGGAGAATGGGACATAAAAATAATTTTCACTATGGACAGTAGGACAGTGAGAACATTTGTCATACTTGGGCCCCAGGAGTGCGCCTAACAACCAACATTTCAGAATGTCAAAACACAGGCTGTCCTGGGACACAAGAACACTCTGCTTGGTCTCACCCTTCATGACCAAGGATGTGGCTCCACTGGCCTGTGGCAGCTCCACCCTTACCATAAAAAGCACGGTATCCCCTCTAGGGTCTGGCTCTAACCCCTCTCCTGTGTGCTCCACTAACTCTCACAACAAATTCAATAAATTTCCTTCTGCACCTATTCTGTCCTTGGTAAACTCTTTACTGTCTGTGTCACTAGTCTTCTATCAAGCATGTCAAAGATATTTTCTTTAATATGTAGAGTTTCTAAATTCAATAATAAAATGACTCCACAACTCAATCAATAAATACACAAAGAAAATAAAACATCCATAAGAAAATAAAGAAACCAAATCTTGGAGAAAAAAAGAAAAGAAAGGAAAAGAATAGAAAAGATGAGCAAAGGGCCAGGGATTTAGCTCAGTGGTTCTTCCACCTGCCTTGCAAGCACAAGGACTGGAGTTTGATCTCTGGTACAAAAAAAGAAAAAAAAAAAAAAGAAAGAAAGAAAAGAGAAGATAAGCAAATATATAAAGATATGTCATAAAACAAGAAATTACATGTGGCTCTAAACATAGAAAAAAGGATTTAATCTCATTGGTGGATAAAAACAAAATGATATGATATCATATTTCAAGAAATTACTAAAGTACAAAAAGTTCGATAACTTACTTTGTCAGCGTATGGGGGCAGTAGACAGTTCCATATGTTGCTAATCCTCTGCCAGAATGTTTTAGAGTATCTATGAAAATTGCATATCCACATGCACTTTTACCTAATAATGCCTTTCCTGAAGTCAATTTCATAGTCCTACTCACATATAAAATGACATATGTATAGTGGGAACTTATTGAACCATTCTTTGCATTAGAAAAATGTTTTCTTAAAAGTACATAAAAGATTCTAGGATACTGGTTAAAGGAATTGTTCTTCATTTATAAAATGGGACCATTTATAGTCAATGCAAAAGATGAGGCAGCTCTCTATTTACTTGTGAGGTAACATTTACAAATTTCTATTTCCTATATTATATTCCTATTTTTCACCCTTTCTCTGTATATATTGGCTTCATCCTGAAGCTTGTTCCCTTGTGATCATAAGATGTATGTAGCTGTTTAAGTAGTCACATGCAGACACAACTCTAGCAAGAAAAATGCTGTCTCACTTCAGGTTCACTTTCTTAGAAGGGAAGAAATCAGCCCAGAAGCCCTCTAGTGGATATCCCTTTAATATCACATAGGCCAGCTTTGAGAGACCTGCCTATCCTCCAAAATAGTAAAGGGATTACTATAGGTACATAGACCAGTGGTCCCATCCTGCAGCAATTTTGCCCTCCACGGGGGTATTTGCCCACATCTGGAGTTATTTTTAGTTGTCACGACTTAAGGAGAGGGTGGTACAGTCATCTAATGAGTTGACATCAAGGATACTGCAATGTGTAGAACAGTTCTTATAAACAAGTTATCAGACCCTAAATGTCAATAGCATGGAAACTGACTTAGATTCATTTAGTGAGGAACTCATGTTAGGATTTGATCCACCTTGACCCTTACTATATCCTTGTTTTGCCAAAAGGTCAACTGTCTGCAATCACTTCTCAGTTATACCTCACTAGGTTAGGTACTTGTGGCTGGAGTAAAGGAACTGAGAGTGATTTCATTAGGATGACATGGTTAAAATGAGAGAGGAGTAGATCCTTGAAAAATGAGAATTTCTATTACTGGGAGAAAGCTCAGCTATGCGGCTCTAGATGATCACTATAATAAGGCACTCTAATAAGTATAAGTGAAGAGAGAATATTTAAGAATGTCAAAAGAATTGCTAAAAGTTGCTGTGTTACCACATGTAAAGAATGAAAGAGAGACCATCGTTGGAGGGATGATGAGAAGATTTTTAGAAAAGGAGTGATTGGAAGATTTTATCATTAACCGGGTAAAAAATTTAAAAAAGAAACAAAGTTGGTGAGGTAGAGGGAGATTAGTGCTATTTTGGAGTCCACTTACCTTTCACAGCATTTATTTGGCTGCAATTATCAGGACCGATTTTACGGAGATGTCCTTGAATTTTTGTCATTAGTACACATTGGCAGTAATGATTACATTTATTGTGGGGAGTTGGTACATGTACATATGAAGGACCCTAGTTAGCAAGACAGACTCCATATTGCTGCTTGACCCACCTGCCTACCCTTTAGAAGAACTCAAAAGGAGGAATCTTAGAAACCTCCTCCCCTTAGAGTCTCTTAGAAACAACAATTAATCAACTATTGTTTTACAAATGTTCTAACAGCAGGACGTTCCGCTTCGGTACCTTTTGCTTGCTTTACTAGTTCTATCCCATAGGGGGGCCTAGAAACTGCCGGCCTCAAAGGTGTACAAAATATGTTAATCTCCCCCCAGTCGAGGCTCGAGTCCGATGCTCGGCTCGGGTCCCGGCCAGTAATAAACTCCTGTGTGGATTTAATATCGGTCTCTGGTTGGTTCTCTCTCACTGGGTGTAACACATAACACCCCTTAATTATTTTTTTCATCCCCCACCCCTCTTATTCTTCCCTGCCGCTTCCACATTTTGGTTCCCTTCCCATTTGCAAAAGTTCTATTCTCATTTTTTTCATCCCTTTCTCTTGCCCTTTCTCCCACCTTCCTCCATCTCTTGCTCCTCTTCCCACTTGAAAAAGATCTCCTACTTTCTATGTCTTTTATTTCACTCTTTATATTTTGGGTTTCTCATATAGGAGAAACCATATAATATTTAAGCTTGTGTGTCTGATTTATTTCACTTAATATTATAGTCACTAGGTGTATCCATTTACATAAAAATGCCTAAAGTTTATTCTTCTTTATGAAAGAGTAGTAGTACCCCATCGTCTATAAACACATTTTTTATCCATTCATCTGTTGATGAGCATATAGGCCATTTCCAAGCGTTAGCTATTCTAAATTTTGCTGCTATAAACACAGATCTATGTACATTATATATGTGATGTATGCACGCATCACTGTGATATGATGGCCTTAACACTTTTGGGAAGATACCTGGAAGGAGAATAGCTGTATCAACTAGAATTTCTAGTTTTCGTTTTCGAGACGTCTCCATACTGATTTCCATAGTGGGAGTACTAGTTTGTATTCTCACCAACAATGTAGGAGAGTTCTTTTTCCTCTGTAGCCTTGCCAGTATTTGCTATTATCTGATTTTTTGATGGTATGTTTCTGGAGTAAGATGGAATCTCATTGTTGTTTCAATTTGCATTTCTCTAATGGCCAGCAATGTTGAACTTTTTTTTTCCGCGTATTTATTGGCCATTTGCACTTCTTCTGAGAAGTGTCTACTCATTTCGGTGGCTCATTTTTTGACTGACTCTTTTATTATAGGAGGTCTAATTTTTTTGAGTTCTTTGTATATTCTAGATATTAGTCCTCTGTCCAAGGAATCGCTGGAAAAATGTTTTTTTTCTCATTGTGTAGGTTGTCTCTTCACTCTGTTGGTTGTTTCCTTTGCTGTGCAGATTTTTATTTGATATGATCCCATTTGTTGAGTCACAATTCTACTTCTTATGCTTTTGGACTTTTGTTCAGAAAGTCCTTGCCTACAACTATATCTTCAATAATTTTACCTATTACAGATTGGGTGCTTCTGTTATAATATCTAGATCTTTGATTCATTTTGATTTTAATTTAGTACATAATGAGATATGTGGGTCTAGACTCAATCTTCTGCATGTGTATATAGAATTTTCTTTGAGTGTTATAACCTATTTAATAATGACATGTGTCACCAACTTTGCTAGTCTGATATGGGGAGATTCTCGGCACGCAGGCTAGCTACCATATTTGTGTTCCACGGCCCTAAGAAATGTAGGCAATACATAGCAAGTTTGATCTTTCTAGGCTCTCATTTTCAAGATGACAGAGAGAGAATCACCAACCCCTTCCTTTTTCTTTTTTTTTTACACCTCATGTTTTATTTTTATTTTATTTTTTCATTTTTCGGGGGGGCGGGGGTACTGGGGATTGAACTCAGGACCTTGCACTTGTGAGGCAGGCGCTGGAACCACTGAGCTAAATCCCTGGCCCCCTCTTCCTTTTTTTTAAAGGCACATTTCATTTTGTCCTTTGGGTGCTGAGGATTGAACCTAGTCTAGTGCAGGCTAAACCCATGCTCTACCACTGAGCTATACCTAGCCCTGCACTTTGGTTGTATTTTTGTTCAGGCAGAAATTTCTTGGTTAAAATCACAATTCAATTGTGCTTCCCTAAAATTACATCTTTACCAAATTTTGGTAACCTCTATGTATTATTGGGGGAGTAATCTGTTTTGGCATTCCCACTGAATTATTAAAAAGTGACTACTTTGATTCCAGGTTATTTAGCTGATGAGGAGACAATTATAGAAGACTAGCATCCTTAGCTTGCGGTTCTGCTTTTGTCTACTACTACAACTACAATGTCTTGCTGATGCAAAAGAGTTACTGCCCAGCCCAATACTGGGCCCCAAAGCTAGAGCACTTTTTTTTTCTTTTTTTTTTAAATTATATTTGGGAACATATTGTCTGATACAAGTAAGGTGTGAGATGATGAGAGACAAACAGCTTCTTGCAAGGCACATGCTATGTCACTTAGGGCTTGGCTGCTCCAGATGCCCCTCTTTCCTCAAGATTAATTCCTGGTGACTTTTGTATTCTCTTCTGCCCAAGGATATCAATTGGAGCCATCTAATTCGAGTGTAGTAAATTGGAAGATCAAAAAGTAAGGGGTCAAGGTCTTGGTTCCTTTGCACTCAAGAGGCTCTTTGCTTTCTATGAAAATCTGCACATCAAGAGTATTAGGAAGGGCAGCTTTTTGCCAGTCACAAAATAAAGAACAAGGAGAACCTACATTCTTACATTCATTTACCTGATAAAAAGTAGCCACTCCGGTGAGTCTTCTTAGGAAAAAGAAGTCTGTTCTGAAGTGAAGTGTTCTGAAGTCTCCTCTACTCCATTTGAGCAGCACGTGGCAGTTTTAAAACTGTTAAAACAAATACCAATCTCCACCTAACCAAGCAACTCATTACACTCATTCTACTTTCATTCTGCATTATGCTTTGCTTTTAGCTCTGTGATCTACCTAAACTTACCTTCCCCTTTAGTGAGTATTTAAACTTATCCTCCCCCTTTGTGATTATTATTTAATTTCCAGGTCTAGCTCAACAATATGAGGCTTAGAAATAGTTGAACTACCTGCAGCAAATTTTCTCTTACCTCAGATTCCTCTAATCACATTTTTCCCTTCATCTAGACTCAAATATACTTTATAGTCGCCTATAGTACATTATCAATATCATCAGCTCAGATGTCATTTCTTTTGCATGTTCTGTTCTAGAGAGTAGAATATCTATTCTCTTCATTTCAAATTTATAGAATCAGTGACCATTACATTTTATAGATTCTGATGTTTCATTACACATGACGCCTCTTAGTTTTCTAGTGTATCACATTCCCCTATTACTGTTGCTTATGAGACTTTTAAGGAATTTTGGACCTCCTATGTTTATTTGCTTTGATAAACTACAAATGTGTATATGTATTCATAACAGCTTTTATATCTACACCTACGTATATTCACAAAAGTTTCAAACACTTCTAGAAACATAAAAGAGTGAAATTCTTTCCATGACCTTCTCTCTTTACATATTCCTCAGAGATCACCATTGTTAATGCATTGATACGTGTGCATCCTTCTGGATGTTTTCATAATATTGTTCATTGAAAATGTGCTTTAGTTTTAGTATTTGTTTTGTTTTTGAGAGTCTTACTCAGTTGCCCCAGTGGGACTAGAACTTGGGATCCTAACTCAGCCTCTCAAGTGCTGGAATTACAGGCATACGTCACACCAGCTTGTGCTTGTATATACTCTGTTGTTTCTAGAGCTTATTCATCTTACAATGTCTAGGTTGGTCAATCTGTCTAGTTATTCACTTATGTGTGATTTTAAGCTCCTCTTGGCTTTTCTTCTATAGTAAACGCTTTTCTTAGCAGCATGTCACTCTTTTCCTTTTCTGTAACCCGCTCTTCTCTCCTTTCTAACCCTCTGGCTCGTACAAAAGCAACTAGATTGTTACAAATATTTTCTCCCACTCTCAGGTAGAATTGACTAGTCCAAAAGTGATCTTATAATCCATATTTAACATATAATACCCCATTCCTGCCGCACTTTGCTGACTGGTTCAGTTGTGATTGGTCTAGAACAGTGATAGGGAGGGAACCTTTTAGAGATGAGTGCCCAAACTGCAAGCCAAAACCCACTTATCACAAAGTGCCAACACTGTGATTAAACCTGGATACTGAGGTTTTAGTTTAGAAAAAGACCCACCTTCATCCGATGCTCGGCTGCTGGGGTGACTTGGCTTGCCTGTTGACAGAGAGGGCTCTTTGTGCCCACTGCAGCACACATGCCATAGGTTTACCACCACAGGTCTAGAACTTTTGCTTTCCTGAATTACTTTAGAAAGAACCATAGGTCATGTGAATTGATACCATTATAGCGGCAAAGCCTTTAGAATATGAGTGAGGCTCAGAGTTTTGGGCAGCCATGTTTCTTAAAAATTAGAGAGAGAGCCAGTTCTCAGGGAGGATGAAGCTGACATGCAGAGCACAGATAAGAAACAGAAAAAGTTCTGAATTAATTCGTTTCCTGCTGGTGAGACCTACGTAGTTGCACTCTTGTCTTGGTTAGTATACCAACTAGACCTACCTGGTTGCACTCTTTCCAAATAAGATACTGAAGGGTAGTGTCCCTCTTTCGCTTACGCAAAGTCTCTAAATAACTCTAATCTCCTTCAACTTAAGGAGTCCCTCATTTCAGTCTTCCTATCTCTGAAACATTAATTTTTGTGGTAAAAAAATATTTTGAGGTATTTTATTAAGGTTATTCAGGCTGTTCCGAACGTTGCTTATGCTAACTGGACTCTCAAAAGTTGTAAATACAGGATGCTATTTCTTCAGGGGGTACCCATGCAGGATGAGATCAGATGATTTTCCTTGTTATCAAGGAAACAAAAGCAATATACATTGTGTGGTTGATAAAAAAGTAGTAGACAGATTCACAATCAGGATATTATTCTTTGGGCTAGAAATCACCAACACAAAGATGCCTTCTTCTACAACTGTTACAATTTCATAGTTTAAAGCATATCTTTCATCAGCTCAGTCTACAATTTCTTGATGAGTTATACTTCATATTAATTACTACTATTTCAACTAGTATTTAATTTATGTGGAAAGTTTTGAAAAATTACCTCAACATTAATATCTTGAAAAATTCCTTGGGGCTGGGGATTCAGCTCAGTGGTGCCCACGCCTGCCTCGCAAGCGCAAGGTCCTGAGTTTGATCCCTGGTACCAATAAATAAGTAAGTAAGTAAATAAATAAATAAATAAATAAATATCCTGGATTGACATTGATGTATGGAGATCAGATGGGAAGAACGAGGCCTAATTGGCCTCCTCGGTGAGCACTGAGAAGGAAGCGGGCATGCAAGCGTGCTAACACGCTGCAGGGAAAAGTAGAAAAACCTGAGGTTAAGTTGTTTACCTGGAGAAGTAGTACCATGGAGAGTGGGAGACAGATGAATCATTGTGTAACTCTAATTGCTCATGTCCATGTCTGAGTGAATAAAACCAAGGCGCACCATCATTAGGGGCTCTATGTCAAAGGGAGACATGAGGCCCCTGGCCCCACACATTCTAACTCGTTTCTGTGTCTCTTTAAGTTTTCATCTTCCTCACCCCTTGGTCAGGTTTGAGCTGAGCTTGTAGGCTGGTTCCTACATCGAAGGAGGCTACGTAGGTAGAGTCCAATTGGATCTTAAGATGGTGAGTTCCAGATATTATGTTTAGATAGACATTCTAATGTCACTCATTGAGAAGTTCTTGCCCTAGTAGGCAGGGGCTAACATTTGCTAGTTTGGCTGTAGGGGTGTCAGTTTGTCTGAATGTTGATTTGTTTAAACTGTTTTCAATCTAAGTAAAAATAGCAAGACCGTAAATAACATAGAGTACAATGTCAGGATATTAGCATTTCCAAATATAGACATGAGTAAGCTATCCAGCCAAATACAACATTTATCTATGTTTTCAAATCATATTGTCCTACATAGCCAAAATAAGCTCTGGGTCATAACATACTTTTTTTTTTTTTGGTGGTGGTGGTGGAGTGAGGCCTCATGCATGGTAGGCAAGTGCTCTGCCACTGAGCTATATCCCCAGTCCTTTTTAAGATATTATGAGACATATTCTTGCTTAGTTGCCCAGGCTGACAAGGAGCCTGTGATCTTCCTGCCTCAGTGTCCAGAGTAACCTGGATTACAGGAGTGTGCCACCATATCCAGTGACATATGAATTCTTGATATACTAGGGAAAAATATGAAAATCACAATTTGAATCACCAAATGTGTGAAACATTACAACTGAAAATCTTTCATTCTTTGATTCACATATTAACCCATGTACTCAGTTTTATGATAAATTATGTCATTATATATTTTCCCACTTATTCACAAATTGCAATTTAATCACATGTATTTTTAGGTCAATTCAAATACAAGCACATCTTCGAAAGAACGCTTACTTTATTTACTTTATTTTTTGGGGGGCGGGGGAGGTACCGGGGATTGAACTCGGGACCTTGTGCTTGCAAGGCAGGCACTGGAACCACTGAACTAAATCCCCGGCCTTACTTTATTTGCTATAATAAATAAGTGTTTTTTAATAACATCGTCTTGAATATTGATTGTTACTGGTTGAATTTCCTAAAACGTAGACTCATACAGATGGGGACAACATTGTTCAATGAAAGGGAATCTTCTTGGCATACAGGAAAGGGCATAGCAGTTAATTCCTTGCACTGCTCAGGTCCCCTTCTTCCCAGATTCTGTTAGAGACTCCCCAGGAGTACAACAGACCTGCTTCTTAGCCAAAATTTCTAAGTGGGAGATGGGTAGGAGGCAATATAGCCACCACCATAGTATAGTAGTTGATCTGAGGACTGCAACTGATCATCATCATTTTCCTCTCCTCTGTCCACTCAAGTTCTCTACCCTCAGAGAGTAATTTTGTTGGTCTCAGCAGCCTGTCCTACGGTTTGGACCAGATCCTTATCTTAGAGGACTGATTCTCTGAGTGTCATGCCCTTCTTCAACCAGAGTTTCTGTACTTTTCCACTTGCCTTCAAAATTGGGCAAAAAAGTACTAACCAACAGTCATGCAAGTGGATTCCCAGGGGGGGGGAAACTATTGTTTTCGCCTATCTTAGCCCACTTTCTGTTGGTAAAAACATAATACCATAGACTAAGCATGTTGTAAAGAAAAGAGATTTAGCCAGGCGTGCTGGCACGCCTGTAATCCTAGCAAGCCTCCTAGTACTGGGATTACAGGTATGTACTGTCACACCAGGCCTAGTTCAATGTATTTTTAAAGTAAATTTATAGGAAAAGCACAGTAGACACCAAACATGTCCTTTCATGCAGGACAACTCATGTTAGAAAAGTGCAGTGAATGGATAGAGTCTATTAGATCATAAAAATGCCCCAAACAGCATTTAATTGCAATCAATAGATTTTTTTAGTTTGAAAAAATCCAAATGCTAGTTTTTGTCCAGAAAATTTAACAAGGTTGTTATTTCAGACAATGATCTTTTTTATTAGATGACACAATTATAATTTAGTGAATATGATAGTGTAGTTAAGAGCCCTACTTTATACCTGAAAGTCAGGTATATCTACCTCAAATGTTGTTTTGAAGATAAAATGAGGTACTATAAGTGCATGTAAACTAACATACCACCTTGCCTAAACTATAGTAATTTTCCTATTAGCTACTTTTTTTTTTTTTTTTTTTTTCGGTACCGGGGATTGAACTCAGGAGCTTGCGCTGGTGAGGCAGGCGCAGCACCACTGAGCTAAATCCCTGCCACCACCCTAGTAGCTACATTATTAGTTATGAGACTAGACTTCTAAAAAATTATACTTGGGTTTTCTCAAGGGTCTGTTAGCGATTGACTAACATATCATCGAAGGCTCAATATCTTAGTAATGGAGTCTATTAACAATGAACTAAATAATGTTCAATATAATAAGTTTAGAGTGAGGGCTATGAAGTGAACTGAAGAAAATAAAGCAAGGTAAGGGATAGGGTAAAGAGGAAGCCTTGGTCAAGGCTTCTTTCAGGAAATGACACCAGAACAGACTTGAATGAAATGAGTGGAAATTTTGTAATTGTGTCATTTATTATACAAATTCATGCTCCTCATAGTGCTTGTTAGCTGCATCTTTTTGGTTCGTAGTCACACTTCCTTATATGGGTAATGAACTATTTATATTTCTATGACTTAGAATATCAATCAGATTTTACAGTTCAGGAAGGACGTGCCTATGCTTCCTGCATCCTTTAAATATTCACTGATTATAGAGTTCCCATTACTAATGCAGTATTTCTTGGGTGGTTTCTTGTCAGGTAAGTGGAATTGGAATTATAAGCACTTTGAAGTGAAATAGGTATTTGGAAGACCCTATCACAGGAAAGAAGCTATGTTATACAGGGTCTTGGATTCACAAAAATTGGGTTTGAAACCCAATTCACCATTGCTACCACAAATTGTTTGTCACTATTGTTGTTCCTGATTATAGCAATTGGGCTAAGGCATCGTGATTGATCTAATCCGTTGTCCTCTGTGGTATACTGAAATTGAGATTGCCTAAGAGTCATTAGCGCCTCAAAGCCTAAAAATACCAGCTATACCTGGAAGATATCTCTGAGAAGCAATTACTCCATAGGGCTCTAAATACAAGTAATAAAGATACTTACAATAAGCAATATTGAAGTATCAACCCAGGAATTAAACCAAAAAATAGCACCAACAATAAAATTAGAAATGAGAAGATATTTAAGCAAGGCACAAACCCAGACTTCCAGCTCACCAAAGGAAAATTCTGGGGGAAAAGAGGTAGAAAAATCTGACAATCAACCATGTGGACACCCTGAACTGATAGCATGGGAATTACCAAAACAAATGAATGAGCTGTAGAAAAATTCAAAACAGAAATAATTTCCCAGACAACCACAAAGATGGTGAGCAGAATGAAAGACATGATTAGAGACTCTAGAACAGAAACAGATAAAAAAATAGCTGAGCTCAGGACCATGACAGAAGCCATGAATGCCCAGCATAGGAAATAAATAGAAACCATGAATGCCCAACATAGGAAAGAAATGGAATCCATGAAACAGATTAAAACAGATATCCAGGAGATTAAAAACTCCACTGAAAGTATTCACAGCAGAATGAGCAAATTGCAAGATAGAATATCTGATATAGAAGACAGGATTGCGGTTAGTGACTATGAAAAGAGAGATTTCATAGTAAGGGACCATGAGAAATCAATCCAGCAGCTGCTAGATGATGCAAAGAAGAACAATATAAGACTGATAGGAGTCCATGAAAAAGCAGGATAAAGTACAAATGACATAAAAAAATCTGTTCACAGAATTATTGACAGAAAACTTCCCAAACAGAGGAAAAGAATTTGACATACAGGTAAGTCATATAGAACTCCAACTCACCGTGAGAAAAAAAAAAACCAAAAAAACTACACCTAGATATATAATCATCATGATGCCAGAAACCCAACAGAAGAACAAAATCCTACAAGCATTTAGAGAAAAGAAACAAATCACATACATAGGACAGCCCATCAGAATCACAGCAGACTTTTCAACACAAACCTCAAGTCAAAGAGAGCCTGGAGTGAAGTACTTCAAGCCCTAAAAGAAAATAACCTACAACCTAGACTGTTGTATCCTGCAAAACTATCTTTCAAAATTGATGGGGAAATTAGATACTTCCATGACAAGGAATACCTGAGAAATTTCATGAATACCAAACCAGCACTCCACACAATTCTAAACAACATCCTAGAAAAAGACAATGAGGTTCACAACCCCATAAGGACCAACAGAGCAAAGCCATCAGGCAAGGCAAGAAATTAAAGAGAAAGGGGGAAAAATAAAAAATAAAAGACCCAACAACAGTAAAATATCATGACAAGGATGAGTCAATACATATCAATTATAAGCATCAATGTTAATGGCTTGAACTCACCAATTAAAAGAAACAGATTGGCAGAATGGATTAAAAAGCAAAATCCAACAATATGCTGTATACATGAAACACACTTAATTTAAAATGAAATTCATAGACTGAAAGTAAAAGGATGAAAAAGAAATCAACCAATAACAAACACTGACGAGGCTGTGAGGAAAATGGCACCCTTCTCCACTGTTGGTGGGAATGAAGACTGGTGCAACTGCTGTGGAA